GATATGGAACAAAGTGTAGTTTTGTAGGGCAAGTATTGAACTTGATACACGAATTTGTTGATTACAATATATTATTTAAAAATGATCAAGATACAGATATCTTCAGCAATCATTTCTTCGGTGACGATTAGTGGTGCGCACGAGACGAGACGAGACGAGATTTCTAGGATCTCGATCTTGATCTCGATCAGATCTTGACGAGATTTTAACAAGATTAGCAATACAGTTAAAAATATGCCAATATCTGTTGTGTTATTAGAAGTGATATACAAGTTTTCCAGTTCGTAGATTATACGGGTTTAAGGATTACGTTTCGCACAGAATGTAAAAACATTACAAATAGCTATTAAAATTTCAAATCAAAAGTTTTATTACTTTTCGCATTATCGCTTCCTGCGGTATGAAAAATGCAGTTTCGAGAAAAACTGGTTTAAAGTTTCAGTAACGATCAGCACACGATCTCGAGTCTGCCACAAAACGTTCTTTTCTTCCAACTTTCGTAACTTCGTCAATTACTAGTTCAAGCTACAGAAAACTCATTTATTTTGCCGCGTACGAAAGCTACGTACAATTCGGTATTTATTACTCGATTATTTAATTTGAAGGGAGGCTATTTTCTATGTGGGTGTTCGTTTAAATATTAAATGCATGAAAGCAGCGAATTATTGATTTTCAACAAGAAACCTATTCACTGTTGTCATGCGAAGTGGTCCATGCAGTAAAATATTTAATAACCAAGTGAATATTGATTTTACAGAAAATTAATTCAGGAATATATTTGTATTAGGTAATGAAATATGTATATTACAGTGGTATGCTTCAAATGGGAGCCATACAACGAAAAATTTAAATAAAATATATAAAGTGAATAAGCATCCTATGATCTTTAAATAAATCAATTTTATTTAACACTAGCGTGATTAAAAATTCTATGATTTACAGTGGGTGTAGAAAGTATTCGTACACCGATCGATTTCCAAAAAAACTGTGTTAAATTGTAATTCATTAACTTATTTTTTATAAACAATGACATTCTACATATTCTCGGAAATGTCTAAAATAGATAGATTACAAAAAAATATAGCTATTTATGGAAGTTGCGAAATTAACAAAAAAAAAAACAATTAATCGATAGAAATGTTGAAGTAATAAGTATTCGGACAACTGTTTAAAAGTACTTTACTGGAAATTTGATGTTTTCTAATTCGCACGGAGCAATAAACCAATGTGTTTACGTTACAAACTCTGCTGTAAATGGTTCATCATAAGAATCGTACAAATACTTATTGCTTCTATACCTTCACCCACTTTTCGCATCTTTTTGTTAATTTCACAAATTATATTAACTAGTAAATGTTGTTTGGATTATATCTATCTTAAAGACTTCCGAGAATATGTAAAATATCATTGATTACAAAAAAAAAAGAAGTTAAGAAACTCCAATTTCGCACAAAAGTTTTTTGGGAAATTGATCGGTGTACGAATACATTCTACACCCACTGTATTTTCTATTTAAAATTTCAATTCTATTTATTTACCAAAGAACGACATTCTGAAGAAATTTGATAAAATAGAGACTGTACTAAAAAATGATCACTGTTCTCCTTTTGCTTACAATAAACCGAAATTGACAAATGGTAATCTGCCTAACGGGATTTCGTCATGAAATGGGTAACTCCTACGCGAGGCTGGGTCTAACTGTATTCGATTTACGATAGCTCGAATACTTATAAGGAAGCTCGGCATGAAACTCAGCGAATAAATGATCCAATAAACGATAAGTCACATTAGGCGTGTAACGATGTTGCGGTGCTTAAAAAAATTGCCACTTACTGGATTGACTACATTTTGTCGGTGCTTCGCGTTATCAACCAAGAGTACCGTTCTCCATCTCCGGTTTACGGTGAATCATCGAAAGTAAATTCATTCAAAGTAATAGTAAAAGATTCCAAAGAAATGGAATGGAGAAAGAAAATGGAGAAATGAAAATCAACAAATGATTTACAAGGGTACATCTCGTTGAAAATTTAAATAGAATTCTCTTTGCTACGATTTATGCAAAGCCACCTTAATTATAAAAGATTCGCCTTCCAAATGAGTAAAATTCTAAAAAATCTTTATGATAAACGTGTCATTGCGATTGTAGCAGAGAGTAAAGATGGTTGGATGCGTTAAACGCAACGATCCTGTTATAAAATACGTGTAATTATCCGCAAGTGACGTTCTTGCAACACGGAATAAATTACTATTTGCGGCTTTCTGGTCTGTCGAGTGCACATGCACCGGCTGCAACAATACCACGGGTTTCAACACCTCCTCGAAAAGGATATATCCCGACAAAGTCGAAATTTAGATTGTTTGCGCAATTGTTTTTCTTCAGAAACGCCAGGAAATGTCGAAAAGTTAGGATAACTCACGGAGAAGCGAATACACATCTAAATTAGGATTTGCAAGGGTACTTCAAGTTGAAAGTTTAATAGGATTGGTTAAATATATCCTGTGGTTCTGATTTCGTCCTCAAATAAACGTGATCGTCTGTCAACAATGTTTAATAACTATTCCTCTCCAAATCGTTCCAACAATGATCCATGAATGTTGCTACAGATCTGTACTTTACATCGCGAGTGCAATAGTTGATAAATTATGATAATTGATAAATTAACAATTTAATGATAATGTCTATTAACATAGATACCCACACTAGAGATGGCTAGAACAGCTACTTGTGAATCACTCGTGATTCGATCACGTTCGTTGCCAATCACGGTGATTTTTCACAGTGATTCGTGATTTTTCGTGATCGCTTCTGATTGGTGAAGAACATAAGAAGAACTGTCCCTTGCACGCGTTGTTAGAATCTTCAAAATGTAAATGGATCGTAATGAAAAACGCCCTAACCAGTATATTTTACATATATTCTACATAAGTATGTAAATAACGACATCAAAACAAAAATGCGAATTACCTACACCGTATAAAATAAAGTAAAGTAAAGAATAGTAAATAAAGGAATGCTTTAATGAGGAACAGTGAAGAGTAATGAATATAAGTCAATAATTATGAATTGCAAGTCTTAGTTTAGTTGTAAGTATCTTTAGACTTTTACAAAATGTAACACTGTTAGAAAATAATACATAATTAATACATAAAACATAATACGAATAATATAAATAAAATACAAAGAACAAAATAACAATGAAATAAAAAATATATAATAACAAATAAGTAACTATGTATTACTGTTTAGGAATAAATTTCTCTGCTTGCAATCTGTTTCTTTTTTCTGTTAAAAGTAATCCTGCTTTAGAAAATATTCTTTCGCGTGGGACTGAAGTAGCCACCACAAAAAATAAATGACTACTAATTTACTTAATAAAGGAAATTGAAATTGATATTATATACGGATTTTTTATGCAAAAAATATATATATATTGAAACATTTTATAAAAAGTAATTAAATTAAGATGAAGAATTGTGATCACGCAATTCTAGCAAGATAAAAGAATCACGATCATCCTCGTGAATGAAATTAAATCACTATCCTGATCGTGATTTTGCGATCACTGTGATAAATAACGGTTAGTGATTTTGCACGCCATCTTTAACCCACACGCTGTACGTTCTATTCAAAATTACGCGCGAAAATCTCTACAACTCTCCGTCCTTTGTCGTACATGATCGTCCTCTTTCTCTCACTCCGAAACTCTCTGTTCTTGTCGCACACGATCGCTCCCTCTCTCTCGCATAGCTACTCGACTACCTCCTTTGCCATTCTGTGATCCTAATGCCAAAAATTAAGTTTTTGGTATAAAATTGGGCGCGCAGATGGCGTACGTGTCAATGTCTCGATTTCGCGTTTAATAATAATTGCATAACGCCTTTGAAAAGCATATATAATTATTTCAATTCAATGCAAATGTTTGCAAAAACAGTCCTTGATGTATTTAATGATCTAGACCTCATATTGCAATTTCAAGGGTGTCTGAATTATTCCCAGAAAGTTCATAAGCAACTAAATAAAATGCAAAAAGTACTTTCTTTCCCAGAAAGTTAATACACAATCGTATAAAGCAATAATGTCTTTCATGTTTATCACTTCCAAGGGTTCTTAATAATTACACAACAATATCTGCTTTACATTAGGTTTATTGGCAAACTTATCAAATGAATAATACATATTTCTGTTTCTAACAGTTTTCATTTAATAAATACATTTCTCTTTGAAATATGAAGTACTTGGAACGCGCGCTTTACTTTATCTTTGATCGCTTTCCTACTTAATAAACTCGTGCGAACCAACAGTTTCCGAAACTGTGCCAATCAATTATTTGTCGAAATCACGTTCGAAACTTTCTCAGCTCGCTTATAACTTTCCATCTCGGCGGATAAGTAATTAACCAACTTCCGTGTTGATTTTATTGCAGCCACGTACACACGAGACAGGGGGGAAATACGGAAACGGCGTGATTACAAGAAAATACCGAACTGGCTCGGTGATACCGGTCCATGTGGAGCTTACGGCGAACCACCACGGCTATTTCGAGTTTCGTACGTGCGCGATGACCTACAAGGACAAGGAAGTCACCCAGGATTGTTTGGACCAGTATCTCCTACGGGCGGAGAACGGGTCGATCAGATATTATCCAGGCCCAGGGAATAGGATTTTCGAGGCCTTCTATAAACTACCAGACGACCTGACCTGTGCTCAATGCGTTTTTCAATGGAGATACATCGCTGGAAATAATTGGGGCGACTGTGGAAACGGAACAGGTATTACTTCAGCTGGATGTCGATGCTATCTCGTTGAAATTTCTATATAAATGTATTTGGGAAATTGGTTATTATCTATTCGGGTGAACCAATAGTTCCTTTCCAATTTTTCTTCTTTTCCTATATCCATTAATATACATCTCAACAAATAATTGCTTCATATAATGATGACTCGTACTACGTGAATATATTAGGTTGTTCCGAAAGTTTCTTTCGCGAGTTGCACTCAATTATTTTATGTGGTCGTGTTTCTATAAATAGACAATCTAATTTCATAGATATTCATGTTGTAACAGTAATGGAGCAAAATGAATCGTGCACAATTCAGTAATGTAACATAAAACATAAAATATTGTGCACATATTACTTATTAATAAAGCGAAAGAAACTTCTGGGACAATCTAATATTAGTATTCCATCATGGTACAGTTGGAAAGTTATTGTTACTTTTTACATGCAATAAATATTGCACAATTAGAACGGTTGCACGATTGTGATAATTGATATTCTACAAGCTTCTGTATATAGCAATGACATTATTATATTTAGATTTCACGAATAAACATTATTACGAAGCCTTCGTTATGCTTTCAGGGAACGCAAGGATTTTAATAAGTTATAAGAAAAAGTCCTCTGTGATTTTTTCTACCTGCAATCTAAAAAGAAAATTATAACCTGACCTACTTACGTAATTCATCCTATACAGTAATATTCTATAAAGTAAAAGGGCGCGGCTTTTAAAGGAAGCAGGAACAAAGGAAAATGTTTGCTGTAGAAAAATTTGGATAAACTTGAATATCTTTTCCTGGCAGAATTTTCATTAAAGTTAAACAATCGTAGGAATATACTGATGTTTATCTAACAATTACGTGTATACTCCTAAGACATAGTAAACCTCTTCCATTGTCATATATCTCCTTCATGGCCACCAACATCGAAGGTGACTTTTTGAACGTTTGTTTACAGGAGCTGTGGGTTGTGGTCCGCAGGAAGAATTTCGTGCCTGCGCTGATATCACCATAGGCGATGACGTGGAGCCCCTACCACCGAGACCACCGAAGGAGCCAACAGTTCCTGGCGAGAAATCCCCAACGGAACCAACACTGGTGCCCAAATCCCATGGGCCCCACTGGCTGTTCAGTATCGTCATCGCTGGTACGTGCCTGCTGGTTGTGCTGGCGGCTATGGCGTTGCTTTACTCGTACTACTATCACGCTGGCAGAGCCAAAAAGTGGCTCATGGCGAGGCGATTACTGGCACCTGAAAGTCCACCTGTCGCTCCACCGAGGCATAAAAGACACACATCCCATGCACCATTGCAGCTGTAGAAAGACATTTGCGTTTCACGTAGGATGAGCATGAAGAATGTAAAAGGAAACGAGAGATTGACGTGGTTTTGTGACAACTGTTCTGTGAATACTTTTTCAGGAACATTTAAAGTGGGTTCTTTTTATACGATTTTATAAAAGTCACTAAAACCAAGACCAGATTCATCGTTTAGAACGACACGGACGGTCGTTCTGATTTGTTATTACAATTTACCTGTACTGCCCTCGCCCGTTACTTCCAAGACATTTGGAATAATTCCAACGACTTTTCTGCCGTGCGTGTTTTTGTAATATGTAGTGATGTACGCATGACAAAAAAGTTGTTTTTATTTGCGTTTAGTATAATGCGTTCTACGCCTGGCACACATTTTCATCTTGTGTATATAAACTGTCTTACATTAAATGTATTTATTTTCTACAAAGTGGTGATCCCTGGTTTTCCCTATCACTTAACGCTTCGCTAATTATTTGTAGTTCACCGCGTTCAAGGTTGCAGTTCGTGGTGTGTACATCTCAAACTTAACGGTATCAAATAAACAAGGTATCAAAGAACCAGTTGTTTAATAGTAAATTATTTTTTATTCAGCAACATGTTTCTAAAGTCTTGATTACTCATTTTTTGTGAAGCCCCGCTCGCAGTTGCATTTGCACTGCCGTTGGTGGCACCGGTTTTAACGGTACGGGGTACCATGGACAATAGCGTTTTGGGCATACCGAACGCTGTCCTACTCACTGTGGTGCCACCTAGAGACTTAATCAAAGATGTTTCATCGTTCACTGGAACCTTCTTTCGTTCAGGTGGCTGACTTATAGCCACGCTTATAATTTTGTCACCGATTTTCATTCCGTCAGTAGCCAGGAGAGCTTTCGCGGCGGTAGCTTCGTCTTCGTACTCAACGTACGCCAGTCCTTTCGAATGCCCGTTTCGGTAAGTAACTATACGAACTTCTTTCAATGGTCCGTGAACTTTAAATATTTCTTCCAGTTCTTCTTTTGTTGTCGTTACCGGTAGACCTGCTCAATTTGCATTTTTATATTGACTGCGAAATTATAAATCTAAGCGTATTGTTACCTTTAATGAAGAGTTTATTCTTCTCGAGAGACTGACTGTATTTAAACCCCGGTGTTCGCGTTGTTTTGTTTGGGTCGCATCTCGAAACGAACATCGGTCGCCCTCGTATTGGAGTTCTGTCTAATTTTAAAGCCTTCTCGACCGCTTCCTGTAAAAATTGTAACATATAAGCACTTGTAAGTACTCTAACAAGCTAATTCAATAAATGAGAAACAGTTCATACCGGGTTACTCAACTGCACATAGCAATATCCCTTGCTGCGTCCTTTATAATCTCGTATCATTTTGAACGACGTGATCGGACCAACCTGTTCTAAAGCGTTTCTAACTTCTTCCTCGGTTGCGGTGTAGTCTAAATTACTTACGAAAACCGTGATTTTATCATCGACTTCCTGAGTGTTATCTACTTCCATTTGATCATTTTCTGGAGCCTTAAAGCCAGGTGGTGGAGCAATCTTTGGTTTTTCTTCCTTGATCTCATCATCGATTTTCTTTTCAAAATTCAGATGAGTTTCTCTTAATTTTGATCTCACTTGTGTTTCGACTCTCGTAATCTTTGTTCCTCCTAAATTCTTCCATCTACCAGCATCATCTGATTTTCTTTTATGTGCCTTTTTATTCTGTAATGGCGATAACTCATGATTAGAAGTTTGTTGTATTTTCTGTCTTTCCTCGGCTACTTTCTCCAGTTTCTCTTTAGTTTTCGCCTCGCAGTGTTCCATTTGTTCTAAAGTTCCTTCATCCCTTTCAAAATTTATCCATGCATTTGCTATACTCTCTGGCCAATCTTTTACAGCAGTCAGAGCTTTCTGGTACAATTTCCTTAAATGTTTTGTATCTCCATAACATCTGTATGCCAAACAATATTCAATTATAAAACATTTACATAAAATCCTAAATCTGTAAAATATAAGATAACGAATTTCTTTAAAACAAAGTAAGAATGTACCTTTCTAGTGAAATATATTCCAACCAGTAAGATGCTGTTCCGGAATGTCCTTGTGACAGAATATCAGCCCACAATGACCTAGCTTTTTCCATGTTATTGGCATGTATAGCTTCAGTTCTTGCCCAGAATTGTAATATAATACAATTGGGGTCTCCTTCCAAACCAAAAAATTTCGCCAAATGTTCGCAAGCTCTATTAAACGTATTACACAATACTTCCAACTGCTTCTCTTCGTCGTTCGAATGCTGATCGATTTTTCGTCGTAAATATTCTAAATATGTCATCCATAGATTTTGGTAGTCTTCAGGAGTAGAAAATCCAGCTGTTAAAGCATTTTCCAGCAATGCTTGGATTTCTAACGTCGGTTTTCCCCATTTCTCGTACGATCTTATCCATTTCTGCCATATTTTGGCGCACCATGGAATGTTTCTCGTAGCTTTCTGATACACTTGATCTAAGATAGATTCGATTTTTATATTTTCTTCCAGGTATGTAAGATAATCAAGCCAGAGCGACACTTCTAAACTAAGATCGGCGACTGCCCTTTCATACAAAACACTTATTCGACCTGGATCTCCATTTTGTTTTTCGTGCATCAAATACGCTTTGTACGCATCTAAAAGCTCACTTTCAGCTTGTGAGGAAACAATCTTTTCTTCATAAGGTAGACGAGCATTAAGCTTCGCGGATGCTCGCTCGTATCCCCCAAGTATAATTTTATCATCAATAATAGCTTCTGCACCATCTCCAGTGCGCCAAGTTTCATACTCCTCATACGTTTTTTCCATATCTAACAAAGGACAGGCTAACTGCCTTTTAAATAAATTTCCAATACGCTCAAGTTGTTCTTTCCTTTCAGCCAGATTAGTAGGATCGATCTAAACATTTGAAATCTAAATATGAAAAGAGGCTTTTAAAAGAAATACACACCATTCTTGAATTTGTTACACCTACCAATGCATGTAGAACAATTTCAAACTCTCTAAAGGCCTCCCATATTATTGCACCCTTAATAGTGTGCAATCCAACAGCTGTTAATGCTTGTTCAAACAATTGCCGGACATTCTTTGCTGCATCTTTCTCAGTACCCATATTACCGATACTGAACTGTAAATATTCTAGCCATATTTCTACAGCTGTAAGAGAAGATTGTATGTAAGAACAATGGTGCACATAATATAAGAAAGAGAACTAATGTGCACAATTTCCTTTTAAACTTACAAAGATAATCTTTAACCGCTCGTTCGCACAGTTTGACTACTTCTTCTTTCTGTTCTGGTGTAGTAGCTAGTTTGATCTCATCACGTATCCAGGATAACCAGAGTTCAGAACTCAAGGGAAACTTGGAGTTCATATTCTCCCTGGCAGCACGCAATCCTTCCAATTCACCCATTCTTTGCAACTTACTGATAATAGCTACATGGCTCGCGTAATCATACGGATTCTGAGCGAGGGCAGCTTCCAAAACTCTAACTTCCGCCTCGTCAGCATCCTCTTCGTCATCGTCCTCGTCCTCAATTTCGTCCTGATCACCGACCGATTCATTTTCCGCGTTTTCTTCGACTTCATTCTCAACCATCTCCAACGCGTCATCTTTGCTTCCAGATGAATCTTCGTTCGGACTTTTATCGTTGCTTTCGTCGTTCCCTACGTCCATCTCTTCCATTTCTGCTCAGATAAGTTCCACAGTGAACGTTAAGTTACCCTTGTGGACGAAAACTAATTCTGGTACGTAGTTATCAAAACTGAGAAAGGACACTGTGTCCTAACAAAATATAAACGTTAAGGCAACGTTTCAGGTTATGTTTAGATGTTTTTGTACATATTTCTTTAGGAGTCTGACAGTTTCATTGCGCATGTGTACTAGCGACGCAGGTAGAATCAAAATTTAATTTAGGTAGAACTCTGATATTGATTTTTAATGGTAGATTAGATCGGCAAGAGCAATGCTGTTTTAAACTAATTTTGATGGATGAATTATATAATATACAGGGTGCATTGATAATAATATAAGTACTAGGTAATATTTAAAAGGTTAACAATTAAATAAAAGAAACAATTTAACACTGAATCTACCAACATTTCATTTGTACTTATACTTATTTCATTTGTAATTTTTCTTTCAAAGATTGTCTTTAATTTCGTACATGTTACATGAATTATCTACATATAACTAGCCTTTATTTTATAACCTTTTAAACTATCGCCGTTTCTCTTGTGCCATATCACTCACGGTGTTTAAAATGTTACTCTGTGCATATTAATATTCATGCAGAAAATTCGAGGATACGTTAACACGATTCTTCTTTAGAATATATCATTTGTTTTATGTACACACTGGCCTTCTGTTTTAAGCTTTTAAAAATTTTATACTTTCCCGGTATTTTCGCTCAAATAAATAGCCATCTAGCGGTGATTATACCGAACTATTTTTCGGAGTATGGTCAGCGCCTCTATCAGGAAAACGCCCAAGTTTGTCCTCGATAATTCCTTTTTCTCTTGCTAGATGGCGCCATTTACTTTGTTATTTACCGCATTATGGTAATGTATCGACAGGTCGGTAAGTAACACTGAAAATGGCGCCATCTAGCTGGAGAAAAAGGAACTATCGAGGACTAACTTGGGCGTTTTCCCGATAGAGGCGCTGACCAAACTCCGAAAATAGTTCGGCATGTTCACCGCTAGATAGCGACACCAATTTTCGGCGGGAAAATTCGAATTTCTTTTTAGTTAATCAAATCGAAGTTCATTAGAAGTATTTATAATTACTTCAGCTGAACAAATCTATTAATTGACTTTGAAAAAGGAGGAGGTTACTCAATTGGACAAATATATTTTTTATTTTTCATACGGATTAAACGATTACAGTATAAAATAGTTTGTAAGTTTTACGCTGTCTTTGTACGTCAAAATATGATATAAAAACGTTTATTGTAGGCTGTGCTTTAAACATAGATATATACTGTCCCGGTCTTTTTTATATAACTTTTTATGCCCAATAATTAGTCCATCCATGGACTCAATGTATATTTATAATTATATTAATTTTTTATCATTATATACTTCGGATACTAAGTCCCTTCCGATTCCCTCATTTTGTCACGTACTTCGTTAAAATGGGCATTGAAATTTTGATGAGTTTGGACGATGTTGAAAACTATGAAAACAAAAATCCCCAGAAACATGATAAGCATCACATAGGCTAACACGCGGACAAATGTTGACACTCGTGTTGGCTCCGATGGGGATTGTTGCACGGACATAGGAATTTCTGTTTGCGTGGATTTTTTCAATAGAGTAGACGTTCCATCGGTTTCAACCAATACCGATTGTTTCCAACCAATATCTCCGACGTTAGCGAAGGCACGAAATTCTTCCTGCTGAGCCGAGCCCACGGGAATTATGCCCGTGGCGCAGGCTGGAAATCCTTCCTGCGGGGCGGTGGGACGACATTCTTCCTGTGTACCGCAGCAATTCTGCGTCGTGTCCAACCCGTTATCAGTGCATCCAAATGAATTTTCGTGCGAACGTGTACAGTTATTGTCGACGTTCCCTGCGCCCGTGTCTTTCATTTTTGCTCAAATAAGTATCACAGTCAACGTTAAATTTCTCTTGTGAACGGAAACTAATTTTGATACGTAATTATCAAAACTGAGAAAGAACACTGAGACACATTACTTCTTTACGAATTTGACAATTTCATTGCGCACATATACTAGCGACCTAGCACTACAATGGCGCCGGCGGCGGACAGAGTTTCCGGCCGTGGCAAGATTTTTTTGCACATGCGCAGCCAGAATTACCATCACCAGTATCGTATCCACGGTAACAGAAGTGGTGCTATGGCTTTTGTGGCTATGAGCACGAAATCATGGATATACATATATGTAAAATTATGCAGGGGTAATTAAGGGTGCGCAGAACCCAGAGCCAAACTCCGAGTTTACTTGAGCGACAGTTGCGGAAAAAGTAGGAAACTCCGGGACAAGGACAGAGAGGGTGATACAACAATTGCAGGAGAGACGAGGACAGGACGATTAGGCTAGCACGATTTTTTTTCCAGGATATTGAAGCAAAGAAGCAATATTTTCTAATAATTCTGGTTTTAATAGATTCGTTACACTTTGGCGGATGCGACTCCAAGGCCTGATTTTGCAATTTCGCCCTTAAAACCTTATCAACAATAAAATGAAGAGAAACAAGAAATGAAGAGAACAAATTTAAATAATGAGGAAATGAGAAAATGAACAGAGATGCACTATTTGTAATAGATAATTTACTGTATTACAATAATATAGAAAACGGGAGGTCAGACTTAGTCCTTTAATTTCTCAAAAGTACCCACGACACATGACAGAAAGTCTTGTTGCATTTAAATGTTACTGATAAAGTGATTACATTTTTTCTTTAATAAATTTCTTGCAATGAGACCTCCTGCAATGCGTTCCGCGTACTTTTGAAACCAGGATTCAAACTGATCTTCCATTTTCTATTATTTGAAGTCATTCACTATACAAATTATCTTTGTAAAAACAAGTGAGACCCCCATAAAAAACTTCAAAAAAGTAAAAAAATTGCACCAAGTACATGAAAAAGTGGAGGACTTAAAGAGTAATCATAGAAAAATAGAAGATCCCCCTAAAAAAATTCAAGAATGTAGAAAAAGATGTGAAATCGAAATGAGCAGCAAGTACATGAAGATCCTTTCCAGTAAAGTGCAAAGTGACACTGTGTAACATAATATCAAATTCGGTGCTTTCCAACTATGCGCAGCTGAAATGCTGTGTTCGACAGTGCAGACGTTCAGACTCTGCACAGATTAATTGTTTTTTTTTCTTGTTAATTTCGCAGCTTACATAAATAGGTATTATTTTTTTTTTTCTGTAATCTATCTATTCTAGAGATTTCCGAGAATATGTGAAATGTTATTGTTTATCAAAAATAAGTTAATAAATTACAATTTTACATAGATTTTTTGGAAATTGATCGGTGTACGAATACTCTTTACACCTACTGTATGTAGAAAATCATTGATTATAAAAAAAGAAGTTAATAAAGTAAAATTTCACACGAAACTTTTTGAGAAATTGCTCGATGTACGAATACATTTTACACCCACAGATATACCTGGCCATTGTATCCCACGTGAAATGCTATGGTAAGGGGGTGCCTCAAAAAGTTAAGTGCCCCAGCCTTTCTCCCTCTATCTACCTGCCACTATCTATTGTTCGCTCTGTATACTATCGCAGCTATACCTGCCTATTATGAAACACTGTTTACGGTTCGGTTTACGATCCGAGTCCTGTGTACTTCACCATTGGAGCCTTTCTGGCTGTCGAAGGTGCGTCGTAAATCAGTCGCGCTCGAGTGGCTTGCGTTTGATCGTTAATAATATAGTGCAAACACTCGTTCTATACATTTGACGATGTTATTCCCAGAAACGGGGGAAAAAGGTCGCAGGACAGGGAAACGAGAGTTCGTCGAGTGTTCCAGGAGCTTCTCGAACCGTTGCCAGACATCGATACATCCCCACAAATATGTCACACGTGGCCAGGTGAGTCGGAAACGTATTCCAATGGAGAAAATGTCCTAGAACACGCTCCTCGGAAGTAATCGTGATATTTACCTTGTACTTGCGCGCAGGCACCGCTTTAAAGATGTCCAGTTCTCGTGAAGTAATGCCTTCCGCGTGGCGCGACTGTTATTTGGACATCGTTAGGAGAATCGACGGTAAACATGCCCAGGTGAGTGCGTTGGAATTCATTATCTCGTCTTGTTTTAATTTATTAGACGGAGATTTATTAGCTCGAGGAATTAGCTATTTGCACTTCTCTGTCTTCTTTGTTTTTATTTTCTTTCATCGGGGATTTGTAACTCGAATAGCACTGTGATATTTGTGTTACGAAGCGTGCAGATCGCGGTCATTAAATTTTTATTATGTAGCTGTTTACTTAAAAATTCAATAAAATTCAATGGTACAGAGCTTCAGCCAAAGGTCTAAGCATCGACCTGGAACGTCAAGCTTTAGGGGGGTCGTTTAGACCTGGGGGTAATGAAAGTAACCATCTTAGGGGGCCTTGGACCTTTCCATTTATTCTATATTTACAATATTAACATTACACCTGCAGACATTTGTGGCTATTTTTATCGCGATCTGTTAAGGGGTTAGTCGCAGTCAGGAAAATGGAAACGGACAGTTTCTTGTGTGTTTCTTTAAAGGTATTAAATAATAATTTGTATTAATGAAATGTAAATGTATTACAAAGTATGTCTTAAAGAACTATAAAAGAATTTTTGTTTTAAAAAAATTCATTTCATCATAACTGGCGATGGCGTGGGTGGCCACTTGGTTTGCGGTAAGCAAGATTTCTTGGTCCTGAGGCGATTGTATTTTACATGTCAATAGAAAAACAGATACAGAGGAAGTTTTTTCACGGTTAATTGATTCAATTAATGAATAATATTTAACAATTATACAACAAAGAAATAGGCGAAACGGTGAAGACGGACATCTTTCGTTCATGAGGAATCGCATGCATGTTGGATTTTTGCAGACTGCCACGCAATCGTCACGCAATGCTAAGCGTCGTGTGCAAAGAATGTGAAAAAAAAAAATCAATTAGAATGCGGAGAACGTGCGTCTTACTCTTTCTCACGAATAGATTCTTCGTATTTACTTTTGCGAGAGAAGCGTGCGCGCGATGTTTAAAAAAAAATTGTCATTAAGAGAATTCTGATAAGAAATCGTCCGAAATTCCATGTCAGAATGGTTTGGGACGAGCATTGGCACCGTTATTCGACCCTTTGTGGCCTGACAGCAGGGGAATTCCCCCATTTTTGTTAAACGAGACGGTAATGTACACGAATGTGTACCTAAAATGTCATTATTTACTATGTAGGATTATTATATCATTAAAAAAATAGTTTCTTAAGGTGTTCTAGTTCAACTTATTTATTCTCTTACACTCAGCCATAATTAGACGTGTTGTTGAACGTCGTTATTTATTTCGTAGGATTGTAATATTATTAAAAAAATAGTTTTTTATGGTGTTCATGTTCAACAAGTTGAACCAAGATAACGATGAGATGATGAGATGAGTTATTCTCTCACACTCAGTCGTAATTATACGCGTTGTTTGCAAAACAGTGGCTAATAAGTGATACGTTATCAATACTTAAGTACATCTATGTGCAGAAAGTAACATACATATTTCATAGTAAAAGTCATAATGAAGTTAAATCGTTCCTCGTTTCGGTGATTCCCAGTATGAACCACACGAGTAATCTTAGGTATTCCCAGTGTACGCGCTCAATTATATTTCAAGGGGCAGATATCCGTTGGGAAGTACAATATTTTTATATGTATCACTCGACTATCGTTGCGGTCACGAGTTTGGTGACCCATTCTAAAAATTATCGTGGGAGTTGCAACATTTTTACTCGGAAACGTATTACCGTGACGGAAGTCAGGTACTTTTATATAAGGGAAGGAAAAATGTTCATTTTGTTGTGACGTTTAAGGAAAACAATTGCAAAATTAATTCAGGACAGAGAATCGTGGAATATCCTCTAATATCTTCCCAGCTTGTTTAGTCTGTTCTCTCTTTCTCTTTTTTATATTAGTTATCAATTGACCAGTTTTTGAAAATTTTTAAATTTAAGTGTCACAGCACTCGATGTAGTCATAACATTTTTACATTTATAATAACTTTCCTGAATAATAATGATTGACACATTAAACGATAATATTTTTTGGCCAATCGCGTTTCTCAACTTTTTTAAGATCCCAAGCTTAGGCTAGGTTTTATGGATCGTGTATTTTGATGAAGCAACGAAGATTTCACACAAATGTTATACGGTGATAAGAGTTCTGTCCTAATTCGGAATACAAATGGAGATTCGTATGTACACAGCGAAGGTAAGATTAACAAAAATTCACATTTAGCTAAAAATAATCGCGGGGACAGAAGGTATGCGGTTTCAACGAACGAAGGACGCGACGCTGAAGAACAAGGCAAACTAAAAGCGGGAAAATTTCGAAGTAGCAATTTTCTGGAGTGGTCGTTGATATTGTTATTTTTCTTTTAATTTTGTTTTTTATAATTTCGATTTTTATAACTCTATCGAGTTCTTAAATTGCATTTTGTTTTAAATTTAAACAATTCACGAGAAAATTTGTATGTTCCATAAAGGTTTGTGTTAAGATTGATATCGTTTTTCATAAAACAGGAGTGGTCAATTTAAATCGAAATAGGCTCATATGATTCATATTTAATCAAAGAACAATCAAGTGAAGTTTAAAACAATCCATTAAATAAATCCATGGAACAACTACCTTAAGCTTTCTGCTGATGTCGGCTTCATGCGATACATTCGCAAATTACTAAACGATACTCGATTTTAGTTTTATGCGCCTAACAACTTCATCCCACTTGGTCAAACAACGAGAAACCCTCCTGTTAAGTTTTAACGAGGTTCGTAAAGGGAAAATAAAAGCACCTGACGCTCATGATATTAATTGATATAATAAAATATGTATATATAAAATGAACAAATGACAATACATAATAATTGTTAACACTACAGATTATGAACAAACCATGCACACGCAACACATGCTTCAGCCGCGTTCTTTCTCTGTAGTAAAAATAGAAACGAAACAGACCTCCGGAAAAAAAGGAAAAAAAAAAACAAAAGAACGAGAAATCAATCATACAACAGAACAAATAATTATCTTCAACATCTCCGGACCATCAAACTATAGACAAACATGCAAAAATGCCAAAGTATGTTAACACGTTGACTGGCATACTCTCGAAAAATGTCTACTGTGATTAAATTTTCTTTGCAGACTATTGGAAACTACACAATCAAACGTTTATCGTGGTATTTATTTTCATAACTTCATCGAAATTCAAGACTATCATTCAAAATTTATTGTCTTCGATGCTCAACATTGTTCTGCTTCGAAATGTGAAAATCATCGTCACCGAAATACGCGTGGCGATCAACGTGTTAAATTTCACCTTATCGGAAAACGATCCAGCATCCACTGCGCGAGATAACCGCAGCACTCAGAGGCGGTGCTACCGCGCAAAATGACTCACTGGTGCCAGGACCATCTCGAGTACCACGTCAAACCGCTTCCTTTTTCTTCGTCCTGGCGACTCTCCTTAGGATGGATCCCTGTTCTATCGCACGAACGACCGAGCCGAGTGGAAAGCAACGAGGAGGCGTCACGGGAAAGACGTCAAACCGCTTCTTTTTCTTCCTGTCTGTTCCCTGCTACGCAGGTTCACTCTCCATACGAATGAAGCGGTCAAGTATCATCGGGGATGCCCCACTCTGCGATACATGCGTCGTGTGGAAGCGTTGGTACCACGGGGACCGGCACCAACACGCTCGTGTCGCCTTTTCGCGAACCGGTCGACGGCTGTGGTTGCGATTATTAAGTCGGCTGTCCAGACCATTCCAGCAATTCCGAACTAGTCGATCCAAGGGTATACGCTGGACTCGATTCGTCCCTGATCTTGGGAATCCTGTCCATCCAAGCCTTTCCTTCGCGATCAGCGCCGAGGCGCAACTTCGGGCTCGTTCCGAGGATCCACTTGTTTTATCGGTTCGGATCGGTTGAGGACCTGGAACGGGAGTGCTCGGTGTGATTACGGTGATCGATCTGCGATTAAACGGGTTCTCTTACGCGTTGCTTCCAAGTCGCAACGTGTGAAGCATGGATTGTTTCCAATCAGTTGCGTTTAAATTTTGCGAGAGATTCTCCTGGTGCATTGTACGCGAAACGATGACGAGGAATCGGTGAGGCGTGACAAAGAGAGTGTGGCTTTGGAATCGACGTGGAAGCTTCGGTCTTTAGCGCGAGGAGATCGATAGGAGTTTGATTTAGAGTGATCTACTGGTGATCTACTGGTGTCTAGCTGCGATTAACTAATCGGTGTCTCGATTCTGGGCTCGGCGATGCGAAGAAAACGATGAGCAGCGCCGATTTTCCTTCGAATACGATAATTGCGCATGGAACCGTGACTTTCGGTCTTTGACAGAGGTTATCGCGTCAAGGTAAACATCATCGCATTCTTGCGCGGTTATAGCGATCTTCGGGAGTGTCGAGATGCATCCGTCGTTTTCGTTAATTATTTGCTCGATCCTCGTTGCAAGTTCGCCAACGAATTGGTAGATAGGCTGGTTCGGTTTAATCGTGCATTTCCGCGAAGCTGTGTTCGTTGAATCATTGAAACTTTCATTGGGGACAGAACAAGGAAACTCTGTGCAGTTAGAAGCCGAGTCGTGCGCGTTCTTTGTGTTGATTTATCTTGTGGCAAATTGTTGTCGGAGTACTTTGGGAGCGTTTAATTATCATGGATTGGTTCGGAATGGAACAATGGGATTTATTTTAGTCGTCGAAGAATATTAATTTCTTGTGGGAATTTTCGGAGGATGTAGAATTTCGGAGTGGACCATTTTGCATTAAATTAAATTAAATTAAATTAAATTGTGCATTGTAGTCATTGGCTCCGGAATTCCTAAGGAATTTTTAATTAAAAATACGTTTACGTTGCAGTAATTCGTGCTTTGAATTTTCAGAGAAGTTTCAACTATTAGGTTGTCCCAAAAGTTTCTTTCGCTTTATTAATAAGTAATACGTGCACAATATTTTATGTTTTATGTTACATTACTGAATTGTGCACGATTCATTTTGCTCCACTACTGTTACAACATGAATATCTATGAAATTAGATTGTCTATTTATAGAAACACGACCACATTAAATAATTGAGTGCAACTCCCGAAAGAAACTTTCGGGACAACCTAGTATTTGCTTGATTGAAAATGGTATCATTCTTGTTGCTCGAGAGAGAATGTATTTATCTCTCAATAATCTGAATTCTTAAATAAATATTCAATTGGTAATTCGTTTGGGAGTGTTACCACTTTCGTTGAAAAAAATATATACCTTTACCTTGAATCAAATTAATTACTTTCAATGTGGTATTTACTTGATTGAAAATGGTACTATTTTTTTTTGCTAGCGAGAGAATACAGTTGCCTCTTAATAATCTGACTAGATATTCGTTTGAGAGTGTTACCACTTTCGTTGAAAAAAATATATACCTTTACCTTGAATCAAATTAATTACTTTTAATGTGGTATTTACTCGATTGAAAACGTTACCATTTTTTTTTCTAGCGAGAAAATACTTTTATCTCTCAATAATCTGAATTCTTAAATAAATATTCAATTGGTAATTCCTTTGAGAGTGTTACCACTTTCGTTGAAAAAAATTATATTTCCTTTACCTCAAATCGAATTAATAATTCATTCGAATGTGCTACCACTTCGCTCAGTTTCAATCACACCATTATTACGTGATGTACGATATCACGAGACACGTGATATTATCATGCATGTATAACTTATTAATCAGTAATTCGTTTCCAAGCAGGATCACTTGCGTTCGTAGCAATATAATGATTTTACGCAGATTCAGTTAATTATTTTCCAACAAACGTTCATTTGGGATCCTAATTATAAAATAATATCGAATCGCTAACACCTGCGCAACAATTTCCCAGGATTAACGAGATAAATTCTTAACACGTGCCGCAGAGGTCCAGGATGGTCGGTGTCATTATCAAGGCTGCGCTGTTGGCGCACTTTCTCCAGCTGGTCGTCGAGGCGGCTGATCGCACTACCTGTATTCCCAATTACTTTCGTTACGTTAAGGACCAAGAAACGGAAATATTCAGCGGCCTCATCGTGATATCGTCACCACCGAAAGGGGTTCCTCTGCACCTCAGCGTAGGCATGAGCATCGCCGCCGTGTTACCCTCGGTAAGTTTCCAAAACTTGCAAACTTTTTTTTGGATATATCATGATTGAACAATTTTTTCCAAACCCTCATCCATCCGACTGAATTTTCTCAGGATCGTTCGTTAACCCTTTGCACTCCGAATTAAGGTCGATTCAGACTATACGACACGGACCGTCACGTTCCGGCAACGACACGTACTGTCACGTTCCGGCAACGACACGTACCGGCACCGACACGGCAAAACCTTAAAAGACGCGTTTTAATGGAACTATTCACACTATTCCTGTTGACGTTCAACGTTCAGGTCGGTGTCTGTTAAGTGTGAATAGTTCCATTAAAACGCGTGTTTTAATGTTTTGTCGTGTCAGTGCCGGTACGTGTCGTATAGTCTGAATCAACCTTTATACTTCAATTTCGTTACCAACGCTTTTAAGTGTTTTATTTGCAAAATTTACTTTAACCAAAAAATCAGACAATTTAAGTAAATAAAGGAAGAAACAAATTCACTTAAATACCAGTTTTAATTCTCACTTTTGTTATACTTTGTAATTTTCAAGTGTACGATATCTCTTGAAACAATTTTCTCTTGGGACTCGACAATGGAGCTCCTGAGATAGAAACTGATGTCGAGTCGCACTCGAGGAGTGCAAAGGGTTAATCCTTCGAACTCATGCGACTGAGATACCGGATGTCCTTTCCCAAGGGAATGATGGGGACAATAAAACTTGATTTCTTTGGGCCCTACTGAGTTATCAATTCGCCAAGAGTTTGTTAAGAAGGAAGAATTCATACGTGATTTGTCATTGTTTGCTAGTAACTCACAGTTTGTTAAATATATTACTAGAAGTGACAATGAGATTCAAGTGGATTCCATGCTGCATTTCCTCTTACTCATTGACATCATCATTTTAATTATATAACTGACTGCAGCAAAGGCAGTTCAATGCAAAAATTGCTAGTTAAAAATGTGTAAATTGATGGATCTATCGTAATTGGATTTTTCTAATTGCACTTGTGTTGTCGATTTTCTGTTGGATAAAGTTGCAGTCGCTGTTTCGTTCCTGGAAGTTCGAAAAATATATTTATCAGCTTCGATTGAATTACAGGAAATTTTATTCACACACGCGTGATACACGTTATCATTCGAATTGTTCTAAACAGAAAGATAGCGACGAAATGACATAAACGCGTAACAGTAGTTATAATACATTATACAGAGTGTCCCAATAGCTTCGCTATTTAAATATTAAAAAATATAATAAACGAAGAAGTCTCGTTGAATGGATGCTGCGCTTTCGAATTTCAGAAATACGTCGGTCGATTAAAATTGGCGGAGTCGAGGGAACAGTCGATGAGAGCGGTCCAGCAGGGCGGGCCCTTGAAATACAACATCCGATTTCCTCTTCTTCAACCATTACCGACCATAACCGGTTTGTGGTTCAACAATGAGTTACTTTGTACCGGTCAACGCGGTATGTACACTTTCCTCGTTGACAAAAAAGTCATTTTGCGTCGTGGACCTAGTAACAATATTAACAATTTTAAATATAGACTTTTATAAAAGTGTTTATATCGTCTTTGAAAAATTCATTTAAAATTGTCAAGTTAAAATTAATCGATTACAGAAGTGTTCGATTTATATGATTCTTCTGATCTGTTTCTGAAAATAAATTTGTTGGAGGGCTATGCCATAGT